CAATTGTGAAGCAAGACATTCCTCACATCCGCTGTCGTCTTTTGGTAGAAACGACCTTTGAATCTCTTCAGCACACACTTCCAATCGAAATGGAAGTAAGCTGAACAATTATAAAACAAAACATTTTTTTAAACTTAACTTTTCTTTGCATTTCTGATTGAATAAAAACCATATCAGCGTTGCTGGCTAAAGTTGACACACTCACACATGCCAGTTTCGACCTTACTCTGACTTGGCTCTTCGGTATCTTCAACTGGACGCGAAGCAGTCTGTGAGGATAGCAAACATTCTTGCATAAAAGCTTGGTCACGCTGCGTCGCTTAGCGTCTCAAAGTGCCATTTGTACCCATGCCTCTGCGTCATTCTCTCCTCTTTTGCCCACACCCACTCTCCGGTCAGGCGTGGTGGTCATTCAACGGCGAGACCATCCAACCGTCTGACGCACGGCGGCAGATTCTGGTGGCCGGCGACCGACACAGCCTCATCTTGGCCAAACTCGATCAGAGCGACACGGGCCGGTACTCGCTGACGGTGGAGAACTCGATCGGAGTGGCCACATGCTCAGCTCTTGTGCTGGTCAACGCTGACGTCGCCTCGAGGTAGTCTCTCCAGTCTCTGCTGCGCTACCGGCACATGCGACACATTCACATGCCATTTAGTCATCATCCCGAACTTGCCTGCAGTTCAGGGTTGGCTTACATTTCATCTGATGGGGAAGTGTATTCAGTGAAGAAATTCGAGCTCCACGGTTGTCCAACTCTTGTGGAATACTCTGGATCATGCTGTGGATATATATATTTATATATTTATATAGGTGTATAGATTTAATGCTACCACTATTCGGTGATCCAGTTCACACAACTTGCATCCGTTAGCGCCTCAATTTAGGCCACCGCGGTACTGATTACAATCAGAAATTCTATATATCCGATGTGGTTGCTAGATAGATACAAATAGATAGCTATATAGCTATATAGATAGAAATATAGAGAAAGATAGATAGATAGATAGATAGATAGATAGATAGATAGATAGATAGATAGATAGATAGATAGATAGATAGAGTTATAGAAGTCGACCCAATTGTACCTCTATTCAGTGATCCAGTTTACACTACTTGCATCTGTTGGTGCTCCGATTTAGACCACTATGATACCATTTTCAATCAGACCTTCTATACATCCGTTTTCATACAAGTTGTGTGAAGAAGATCACCGGATGGAGGTCCGTTTGCCCTTGATATATGTTGCCACAAGGGCCCCTCACACTTTGTATTTGTATAGGGTAATTTCGATGAGGCAAACTTGTGTTTTATGTCGTCTATTCATCCTATTACATTCAATGTGATAGACAGAAATGTAGTCAAACTTTGCCACAATCAGGCCTTGTGCTTTTATTGAGTGCCACGTGGCCTTGCTTTCTCAATTGGTACCGTATTTTCCGGCGTAAAAGACGACTGGGCGTATAAGACGACCCCCTGACTTTTCCAGTTAAAATATAGATTTTGTAAGGAGGTAAGA